CTTTGTCCAGGAAATTCCAGATGTCATAATACTAGGGGTTCGTGTCTTGAACCTCATCTATCACGACGATGGTCTCATACGCCGGCGTATACTTCTCTTCAATGATGATCGGGTGCATCTTCACTCCAAGAGGAATGTCCACCATGGAGGATAAAGTTGCCAACGCATCAGCAAATCGGTTGTTCTCTCTGAGCAAATGCGTGAATGTCAATTTCTCAAACCTCGGAATTAACACATCTAGGACCTAATGATAAACCTTCATTTTCTCTTCCTTAACCCACCAATCTCCGTTAGCTTGAGACACAACCAAATTTGAATCTCCAATAACATCCAATCTTATTACCCCTAGTTCTAGGGCAGCTTCCAAACCAGTAATACACGCTTCGTATTCTGCTTCATTGTTGGATACTTTAAACCGAGTTTGAAGGCTAGAGGTATGTGTGAATCATTGGGTGCTATGAGCAACACACCGATCCCATAACCATAATGATTAGATGCTCCGTCAAAGTACATTGTCCATGGTTCCTCTTCTATCTGTAGGATGTCTTCATCTGGGAATAGATACTCCACTGCTTCATCATCTCCTTCTACTGGGTGATCCACCAGAAATTCCGCTACAACTCTCCCTTTGACTGATTTGTGCATGACATACTTGAGGTCAAACTCAGAGAGAAGAAGTAACCAACGAGCTAGCTTACCCGTAAGTGCTGGTTTCTCAAAGAGATATTTGATGGGATCTAAGCTTGAAACTAGAATTACAGAATGAGCTAACAGGTAGTGTCTCAACTTCCTCGTTGCCCAAACCAAAGCTAAGGAAGCTTTCTCGAGAGGAGTGTAGCGAGTTTCACATTCTAGCATCTTCTTGCTTAGATAATAGTTAGCCTTCTCCACCTTCGCTTCTGATTCTTGCGCTAGCATGCACCCCATGGTTGAATTTGTTACTGATAAATACAAGATCAGTGGTTTCCCCAGTTCTGGTGGCGACAATATAGGAGGATTCTAAAGGTACTGCTTAATCTACTCGAAGGCGAACTGACACCGATCATCCCATTGGAATTTCTTTCCTTTCTTCAACAGACCAAACAGTGGTTCACAAGTCAAGGTTAATTTTGAGATAAATCGTCTTATGAATTGCACCTTACCCAGAAAGCCGCGCACCTCCTTTTCAATCCTTGGTGGTGGCATTTCTACAATGGCCTTGATTTTGGAGGGATCTACTTCAATTCCCCTTTATGTAATTAGAAATCCCAACATTTTTCCTGCAGTTACCCCGAAGGTGCTTTTCTGTGGGTTTAACCTCAGTCTATACTCCTTGATCCGCTCAAAGAATTTTTCCAGTGCGGTGTAGTGACCTCCTTGCTCTTTAGACTTGACAATCATATCGTCCACATACACCTCAACCTCCTTGTGGATCATGTCGTGCAAAATGGTGGTTGCGGCCCGCTGATATGTAGCCCCGACATTTTTCAATCCAAAAGGCATAACTCTATAATAGTAGGTACCCCACGGCGTGGTGAAAGTAGTTTTCTCTCTGTCCTCCGGTGCATCGAAATCTGATTATACCCAGAAAACCCATCCATGAATGAAAGCAAAGCATGGCCAGCTGTGATGTCTACCAGTTCATCAATGTGTGGCAATAGAAAATCATCTTTCGGACTTCCTCTATTTAGATCCCGGAAGTCGATGTAGACCCTAATTCTGCCGTCCTTCTTTGGAACCAGAACGATATTAGCCAACCAAGTCGGGTATTCAGATACCATCAAGAAACCTGCATCAATTTGTTTGCTGACCTCCTCTTTGATCTTTAATGCCCAATCCGGACGAACTCTGCGCAGTTTCTGTTTGACTGGTCGAGCCTCAGGATTAAGAGGGATCCGGTGATGTACAATCTCAGGATCTATTCTAGGCATGTCTTCATAGGACCACGTGAAAACATCTTTGAAATCTTTTAATAAAGCCATTAAACGCTCGCGTTCCTCTGAAGACAATGTGGATCCGACCTGGACCAAGCGGGGATCCTCCTCAGTTCCCATATTAATTGCAGTGATTTCATCTGTGCAGGGCTTAACACACCTCTCATCCTCTTGGTCAACCAAATTTTTCAAAGCCCAAGGAATTTCTTCCTCTTCGTTTAAGTCAAAATTTTGAAAATCAAGATCAATGCAACAAACTAAAGGCACAGAGAAGTAAACAAACTCTATGAATTCCCATTGGTAAAGTCTGGGTCCTCGGTTACAGTTGACTCAAAAGAAAAACTAAAAGAAGACTTTGACAGGACTTTGGCATCTGGGTTACCACTCCCGGAAGTACCAAACTCAGAAAAACTCAAATCTAACTCTGACTCTACAGACTCGATGGAATCAGATTCGGACTTATTATCCGATTCAGAACTGTTGATGATGCCCTTTTCAAATTTCCATATTAGGTGTGGAGCCTCAGATGCATCCACAATAAGTTTAGAGAAATACACTTCTGGTTTATCCCTGATCATTGAGATAGTAAAACTATCCCCCAAGTTGTCAAACTCAATTCTGACAGTAGAATTTGCTAGTAGATCAGTCAGTATTTTTCCTAATAGCTTTTCTTCTTCAATGTTCACAGTTATAGTCCTGCCTTGACCTGTATTAGTACTTAGGTCCATTTGCTCATCTTCCTCTTCCGGTAACTGTTGCCCGAAGAAGCGAACCCGGAATAGATTGTCTTTGTCTCCTGGTCAAACCAAGGCTCTGGAAATCCACAAAAGGGGAAATATTCCCCTTGGTGAACAAAGCGTCTGTTCAAGGTTCCCCGTATTGGTTTGTGAACTAACTCATATTGTTTTCCATCTTTCTTTTCTTTAATTCTTCCTCTCAACTCAGCCCATTTCCTTTGCCAATCCTCAGCAATAGGTTTGTATCCACGCCCAAAAGCTTAGGGGTTGTGAATCAGCTCCTTAGTAACAACGCCTCCTTGATTGCCACTCCTGCCTAGTTCTGATCCAGGCATATGCCCCTGTTTGTTCATCATGCAGATGGACTGAGCACTCACATAGATTCCGTCAGCTTCTGCCATGATAGATTGGACTACCCGGGCTTCTGTTAGTGAGAAGCCAGAGAGGAATACATTTTCTTCCCCATGTATGATTTCCAACATTGGTGTGGCAGTTCCCTGGGGAGGGTGGATCGATGAATTACTATACACCGTAGCAATCCCACATTTGAAGGGGTATTTCACCAACTGATGGACTCTTGATGACACAGCTTTTATCTGATGCAGCCTAGGCCTTCCCAACAGTAGATTGAAGGTAGCCAGAACATCCATTACATGGAATTCTACCTCATGTTCGGACAAGCCGATCAGGATATGGCTCTTGAATGTTCCCATGACATCTCGGCTTGTATTGTCATAAGCTCGGACGGCTTGAGTTGTGGGTGTGATGTCAACAAGCCTCAAACATATGGCATAAGCAGTCCGTGCCAGGCACACATTGATCGCCGATCCAGTATCTACTAACACTACTGGAATTCACTTCTTTCGGCTCTCTAGAGTTACATACAAGGGCCGATTGTGGTTGGCACCCTCAAGTGGCAACTTTTTATCCGTGAAAGATATCACTGGCGTAACATCGCCGGATGTGACTAACGACACCAATTGATCAACGGTAGTGTCGATAGGCAGTTTGGTGCGATTCATTGCCTCTAACAATGCTTGCCTATGCTCCCGGGAAGCCATTATCAATCCCCAGATTGAGATATCTGCCTGAATCTTCTTGAGCTGTTTCAAAACCAGGTTGTCTTCACAGTCCTTCTCTCTGGTGTTATCAACCTCTTTGCTAGAGGATTCTGGTTGATCTACAGCCGCAGGTTTAAAGTACCGACCACTTCGGGTCATGTGATTGATTTCATCTGTATACCACGTATCGTTGGGGGTATTGGATTTCCACCCTTCATCCGTGTATGCATGACTCAGATCATTATCTTCCCACCACTCTCTGGCAGTCATGGCCAAGCTTTTATCAGACTCTACTTGGAGCATGTTCACATCACGCCCTTCAGCAACATACCTTTCTTTTCCAACTATGGTTTTGGTTTCTGGCAAGGCCATCTTCCTTTGAATTTCTTCCATTCTCTCTTGTTGGAATTGTTCCAGCACTTGTTCCGTACCAGTAATGGATGTGGTCTCGGCTTTTTCCTTCCTAACCCCTTTTGTCTGTTCCACCTCATCTAGCTTTTCGTCACCAAACCAACCGTTGTTTGTTTCTGGCTGACTTGAATCCAACCAACCTATCTGGACACTGCTTGTTTCCTATTCTTCAAAGAAGTAGAGGTTGGCTAGGTCTTCTTCTATCTAAACTAGATCCTCTTCCAGTTGGGCCAAGTCATTTAGGCCTTGTTTAGGCCAATCATTTTGATGTTGCCCTAACTGGCCTTCCCCGATAGCATTGACACCGAGAACATCCGGCAATAGGACCACTGGTTTTGGTTGATCAATGGCCACAATGTATAAACTGGGGTCATACTCCTCTGCAAGTGAAGCCCCCTTTTCTATGACACAGGTATTAGATAACCTTGTCTTTAATGCACTCTTCTCTTTCTCTGTTCCTGCCACAACCTTTTTGGGTTGGATTTGTAGGGTTAGATCCAACATGCACATATTCGTGCCTTTTGGAATAACCACCTCCAGTTTCGGTAGGTGAGACGAGGTAATATATATGCTTGGATTGAAGGTAGGTAGTCGTGTTTGGATGTGGTTAATATTTCTGGGGAAAGGAACTTGGTTATGTATAGGAAGTGGGTTGGTTGTCACATTTGGTTAAGGAGGGGCGATGACTTTGCTGTCAATGAGATTTTGAATCTCATGACGTAGACGATAGCATGAATCTGTATGATGGCCATGTTGTTGATGGAAAGTACAATATTGGGTTGGGTCGTGTCTAGTTGGCAGTGGGTCTGGAAGAGGGCGAGGATCAAGAGGCTTGAGATGCCCCTTGTCCATCAACACCTTGAGGGCGCGGGTTGGACTCATATGAAGGGGGTAAAAGATCTTCGGTTCCAAGGTTGACTATTTTGTGCGGTTTGTGAGTTTGTAGCAGTAGCAAAGGGATCGACCATCTTGGTCGATGATGTAGCAATGGTACTGACATTTGCAGGTCGCGGAATAGTGCTAGTACTAGCATTGGTACTCCGAGTGAATGGTTTTTTTGCAGGTTCGCTTGTTCTATGGATGATGCCCTTTTTGAAGGCACTCTCAATTTGAACCCCTAACTCATGTAAGGAAGTAAATGTGGACAACGATGCAACTATCATTCTCTGTAACATGTTTGGCTCGAGGTTTTGGACCACTAACCTGACTTGTTCTCTTTCAGAAGGTCTGCTCGTCATTCTAGCTGCCTTTGCCCTCCATCTTGCCATGAAGTCAATGAAAGGTTCTTTGAGGTTTTGAGTGGTTGCTTCCAGCTCACTGATTGTTACTTCTATCTGAGTATTGTATGAGTATTGGTTAACAAACCCCTCAGACAATTCTTTCCAATTTTGCTTCGTTAAGTCCTCTAGTTTGGTGTACCAGATGGCCGCTACATCTGACAGGGTCCTCCCAAATAATGAGAGTTTTTGTGCCCTAGATAAACCCATGGGCCTCAACACATCTGAAAACAGGCGGACATGCACAATCGAATCCCCGCTCCCATCAAATCTATCGATGTAAGACATTTTGAATTTTTCTGGCAACCTGACTGAAGCCTCAGTGTACCCGTCCTCAATGTCGAGAATTGAATTGAAACCCTGGGATTTCTTCAAGGCTGTCTCAAGCCTAGCAATTTTGATCATGGCTGGATCAACTTCATTCATATCGAAGGGAATGGTTCCCGTAGGAGGTTGTACCGAAGGTCTGTACGCTGAAGCTGTTGAAAACATCTCCTGAGGATCTAGGACCTGAGGAGTTTCCAATGGTGGAGGGAGATCAAGATTTGGCTAGACAGTCGGGACCGGATGTACAGTAGATGCAGATGCCCCAGATTGGCGTCGCAGATCAGCGATGACTTCATCTTGTGCGGCCATCCGTTGATTGTCTGTATCCATGGTCCTTTGGACTACTGCCATCATGGCAGCAACTTCTTCTGTGTTTTGTGCTAGGTTCTATGCCATTGTTGGACTGGATGAATTAGATACTGGTGAGTGAACAGGAGTTTGCTGAGTGCTTGGTACTGATGCTGACTGTCTATTCCTTCTTCGTTGAGTAACCGGCGAGAGAGAAACTAACACTGGCTGACCGTCAACAAGATCTTGCATTTTACAAAGCCTACGAGAACGAGTCCAAACAACTCGAGGGATATCGAGTCTTTCTGAAGCTATGATGAAAAACTACCTAGCAAAAAGAAAGAAAGAAAACATATTTTTAAAAAATGGACAGCACTTCGGCCCCAATTCTCAATTAATCACAACACGCAGCTGAATTGTGATCCCCACTGAACTTTGTTCTCAAACTGATTGCTCATTTGTACCATTGCTATGAACCACCCTGTATATTTCACTATAAAAGCACATACCACATAAAAAGAACCAAAACACCACTATGAGGGGGTAGGGTTACCCTGTCCTAGATTTTGACATGATCTAGGTTCCACTATTTGAAGCAAGTGGTTTCATAACATCCTGTACGGGTAGCATCCTGTCCTAATTTGAATAGTCACTAGAGCGTATTATATGCATTAGGTCAAATAGTCACAAAGGGTACCTCAACAAGACTACCTAATATACCTCTCATACCTAACACCGAGAAGTGAAAGAATGATCAAGCGATACAGCGGTAATTCAGATCCAAGGGTTGTGTTCCCAACTTGACAGAGCCTATGACCAATCAGCCTTTTGGCAAGCCTTGTAGGCATGCCTCCGACAAACCGTCTAGGAATAACAGATGGCAAACACAGGGACTTAGGCGCACAAATGCAAATGCAATGCAAAGAACATATTTATGTAGATAAAATTTCACATCATGAAGTTTGAGTCAAGTTCTCTAAGTCCCCAGCAGAGACGCCAGAAACTATAGCTCGGCTTTTCACGCTCCCTTTCGGAAGAATGAATAGCCCTTACAGTCCGGACTCCACTTGTGTGTTGGTTCTGATTCTGATTTCACAAGTGCAATGTGAAACAGTGGAAACACAAAAAAGGTCCAAATCCGGCAATTTCTTTTGGAAAATCGATGTTTGAATCAAATGCCAAAAATGGACTGCTTTGCCAGATTTCAGAGTCGCCACCTAAATATTTATTTTTGGGAAATTTAGGAAACCCATGACTTGTGCCAAAGGCCATTAGTCCGTCGTTACCAAAGTGTCTTGGTTCAGGAACTTAGGTATAAGAGCGGAAGGTCAATAATTGAACACCCCACTCACTCGATCAAAGATCAGCCTCTACTAATCATGATGTGGTTTTTATTTATAATATATGCTGTTGTTCTATATGTAACATACAAGTATAGAGTAATTTCATGAAAAGTTGGAACGTTTGATTTCATGTTTGTTTTGAAAAAAAAAATGTTTTGAATATGTATCACTGAAAATGGTGATCTCATATATGTATGAATCAAAGTATCCCAATTCAAGTGATTAGCCTTCATCCACAAGCATTCAAACAGGTATATCAAATAAGCAGTTAGCCTCATGGTATTATGTTTTGATATGACAACATTCACACTTATGCAATACGGTAAAGCAAAAATGATTACCTTAATGTCCGAAGGCGAGTCCAAAAAGAAAACAAATAGTTAGAAAAAAAAATGCATGATTCTAATTTAATGACTAATGCAAGCAATGCAACGTGCAATTAAGGTTTGGCTACTAGTATGGCATGTGAGTCAATTCAAGGCATGTGATAGCTCATGTATGCAAGTAAGGAGTTTGAATTTGACATTTGAATAATATGATGAGCCGAACTTTTATGCATGTAAGCGAATGGATGCAAATCATGGAAAATGCTAATTAAACATGATATCCCTAACCTAACCATCATAAGCAGTGAAAAAAAAGGGAGAAAGAATGGGGGTTGAAAGACATACAACTTATTACATATTTGTCCTTACGAAGGAGGGTCTGAATGTCCAAATGTCCGAATAAATAATTATTACAAAGCCAAATGACTAACAAACGAAAAGGGCTGTCTAATTTATTACAATAATAATTTGCAATGATTGCTCGATGCTCCTCATGAATTATTCTATCTACCTTGCTAGGATTTGTTCTGTTTCACCCCTAGTTACTGCTTTCAACCAAAAGTGTATTGTTTTGCAATTTATTAGAGCCTTGTGGACCCCAAAACGCAACTCAATCGAGCCCCAAATAAATCCAATACTTTGTTTTCATGTGGAAATCTGTTTTTTGTACCTGAGGTGAAATAGTGCAGACAGGGTATTCCTAGCCATGTTTGTCTTTGTTTTACCCTTCTCTATCATAAAAAATACTCAAGAGAGGGTTGGAATCATCTCCAAAACCATCAATTAGCAAGTTGATTGATTGATGATCTCGGATACAATTTCGACAATGATCAATAAATGCAATGAATAAACAACCATCCCTTCCTCCTATCATGAAGTGAATTCAAGAAAGGAAGTCGAGACACTTCAAGGTTCATCAAATTATCATGAATAGATGTAAGACAAGCCTTGACACAATAAACTCGGTATAACGTCCGACCGAATTCAATTAATCATATTAGTTCTTTATGTCGATTGTAATCCAATTTTAACCAATTTTATTAACCTTTTTTATTACCTTTCCATTTCTTTATCTTTTCTCCTGTTTGTGCAAAGGTGATATTTACGTCCACTAAGTCCAAAACGCAATAAAGAGAAACAAGCATCAACTTAACCCGAGAAACAAATCTTATTTTCTTCGGGGGAAATTGCAAAGGAAGAGTCAAACTTATTTACAAGCGATAAGGGATTCCAAGTCAAACTCAAGATGTGCAACAAGGACTAGTCAAACTCAAAAGAGTGATAATGACTTAGAAAAACCCAAACTTGAGTGATAATGACTTGAAATCCAAACTTGATAATAAGTGATAATGACACTTTCCTTAGCGATTCCCAATGGTCAATTAGTCCCTTAAAAGTAAACATACTGATGAATACAGAGAAATGAAAAATAAAAGATTGTGCTTTAGTATAAGAACATATATACATTTGGGGTAGTGAACCTCCAAAGAATTTAAACCGTTAAGTATAGAACGTTTTATGCCTTTGGTAGTAAATCTCCTAAGAGATTAAATCAGTAAGCATAGAACATTGTATACTTTTGGTAATGAACCTCCTAAGCATAAAACGTTTTATGCCTTTGGTAGTGAATCTCCAAAGAGATTAAACCATTAAGCATAGAACGTTTTATACCTTTGGTAATGAACCTTTGGTAGTGAATCTCCAAAGAGATTAAACCATTAAGCATAGAACGTTTTATACCTTTGGTAATGAACCTCCTAAGCATAAAATGTTTTATGCCTTTGGTAGTGAATCTCCAAAGAGATTAAACCATTAACCATAGAACATTTTATACCTTTGGTAATAAAACTCCAAAGAGATTAAACCGTTAAGCATGGAAGAGTTCATTTCTTATACTTGAACCACAATCTTAATTTTTCACAACTTTTTAATCGAAATAAGCACAGAATGAAAGGAGGTTGCAGAGATGATTATGCGAAGTTGATTAATTGGTTAGTACAAACAAACTTCATATTTAAAACATAAATCGTTGAAATAAATTAAACAGCCCCCTAAATAGCATACAATAGTGCTGAAATTAAGCTATAGAAAGCGAGCAAAATTAGATAGGATCAAGTTAGTAAACAAGTAGAAGGAAGGGTGGCTAACCCCTCCACTTTTACAACTTCAAATTGCATAGTTTAGATGTTCAAAAACAGCCCCAAAAGAATTTGAGGGAAACCTACCACTTTTACTATTCACTGCCGGAGGTACTATTCATCGTCGGGGTTATTATTCACCGCCGAAAGTTACTATTCACCGCCGGAGGTTACTATTCATCCAGTGGGGTAAATTATTTAAAATAATAAATTACAACAATTTATATACAATATTTAAATTACAGCAGATATGTGCATGGTGCAGCCTTCCCATTAAAGCGATAAAAAAACAGTTATGAAAAGAAGTAAATGAAATATTTAAACAAATTATATCACATTTTTAAATTAATTGAAAATTTGTGAAAACTCACCTTTTGGGGAAATGATGAATTTTCTGAGTCACAAACTTTCTTTTGATTACTCTCAAGTCTGTGGAATGTGTTCTCAATTCTCAGTCCAAAATTTGGAATTACAGCTTTAGTGGTTGGTTTTTGAATGGTGTGTTGATGAAATTAAAATAAAAATATCGAAGAAAATATTTTATTTTCCCTCTCTCTCTCTCTAAAAAAAAAAACTAAATTTTCTTTCTTTCTGATTCTTTTCTCTCAAATTCTCTCGCACCACTTCATTTTTTCTATCTCTCTGATTCCCCCTCCTTTTTTCTTTCTGCTGAGCCTCTCCCTCTTTGTCCTTATATAAACAAAAAATTATAATATAATAATATAAATATAATAATATAAAGATTATAATATAGATATTATATAAAGATATCTTATATATATGTTATGTTGATAGCTTTGGATGTCGGCAGCCGAGGGTTGACCGACATCAAAACAATTTTTATTATGTTTTATTTATAATATATATATATATATATATAATATAAAATATATAATTGATATGTTCTCAAGGAACTTGTCTTGGGCTTAGGCTTACTGGCTGTTTAGTCCTACTTTTTATTATTTTATTTTTATATATATAATATATAATTTATACTAATTTATATAAAAACACCAAAAATATGAACAAACACATAAAATTATGAAAAATTACAAAATACTAAACTAATAAAATATTTAGTAGTTTAAAACAATTGAGCCATAATGGTGAAGGTTGGGATTAAAGTTCAAATTACATCTCTCTTACTGAGGATTCTGTGAGAAACACATTCTAATTGTCATCATCAGGTAATTAAAAGAAAGCGCACAAGTCTTAGGGCCGGTCAAAATTGGGGTGTCTACACCATGCCATTTCAATTGATATTTCTGACAATCACCTTGAGGGCCCAATTCCAACAAATATAGGTTCAATCTTTCCAAATTTGTTGAATTTAAAAACATCTAGAAACCTTATTCAAGGTCACATTCCTACTTCTTTAGGTGATATGCACTCTATGGAGTTTTTAGACTTATCCAACAATAATTTGTCTGGACCAATACCAAAGCATTTGACAATTGGTTGTCCTCTTTTATCCTGCTTCATACTATCAAACAATAATTTGTCTGGCCAAATATCTCTTTTGTTTGTAAATTTAACCAGATTGGTATGCTTATATTTGGACAATAATCATTTCACAGGCAAATTTCCAGATAGCATATCTAGCAACAACCACATGTCTGGAAAGCTTCCAAGATGGATGAGGAACATGTCCAATCTTATGGGAATTGCGATGTTCTCAAATCATTTTCAAGGTCCTATTCCAGTAGAGTTTTGAAAACTTGGTAATCTTGAGTTTTTAGACCTTTCGGAGAATAACCTGTCTGGTTCTATACCGTCTTGCTTCAACCAATTGAGGGTAAAACATGTCCACCTGAACCGAAACCAATTAAGCAGTCCAATGATGCATGCATTTTACAATTGTTCTTCTTTGGTGACATTAGATCTTAGCGATAACCACCTAAATGGAACCATTCCCAGCTGGATTGGAAGCCTTCATGTATTGAGCATTCTTCTCCTAAAATTTAATAATTTTGAAGGTGAAATTCCAGTTCAGTTATGCCAGTTGAAACAATTAAGCATATTGGATCTTTCTGAAAATAACTTTTCTGGTTCCATACCTCCTTGTTTTCATGAAATACCTTTTGAGACAACCCATGAAAAATCTTCTCTAGAAACTGGATATCAGATGGGTGGTATTTCAACATTTTCATTATGGAGCTTTGTCGAGGGGTTAAAGTCACTAGGAGAACATTATATGATGGATGTTGGATATGGAACTATTATCTTCCACTCTTTGGATGTCCAACAAAAAATGGAGTTGACAACAAAGCATGGATCCTATGCATATAAAGGCAATATTTTGGACTACATGTCTGGAGTTGATCTGTCTTGCAACCAGTTAACAGGGGAAATCCCATTGGAAATGGGAAACTTGAGCAATATCCGTGTTCTAAACTTGTCTCATAACAAATTATTCGAATCAATCCCATCAACATTCTCACAACTAAAGCAGATAGAAAGTTTGGATCTCTCTTACAATAGATTGAATGGAAAGATCCCTTCTCAACTGATTGAATTGGACAAGTTGGAAGTCTTTAGTGTGGCATACAACAACTTATCAGGTGTGACCCCAGATAGAAAAGCTCTGTTTGCAACTTTTGAAGATGGTGGTTTCATAGATATGGAGGTTTTCTATGTCAGCTTTCTAGTCTCATATATTATTGTGTTGTTGGGGATTGTTGCAATTTTGTTCATAAATCCTCATTGGCGACAACCTTGGTTTCACCTCGTTGAAGTGTGCATGACCTCTTAGTACTACTTCTTTTTGGACAATTTTATTAAGTTTTTTTGCAACAGAAGTATGTAATCTCCTTGATTAAGATGCAAGTTCTTGAATTTGAATCTAAGAAAATGAGATATATATTAGCTTTCTAGTCTAACTTATGTTACTAAACTTTTTTCTAGAAAAGTTTGTTGAAATAAGTTGCCCATAAGTGTCGGTTTTAACAAGATGTCCATAAACATAGATGTTGTAGTATTGTCATGCAATGACACAAATTGGTGTGCCCGATTAAAAATTCCCATTATGAAGTAGACTAGAATTTCAGGTAGAATGTTAACATTTTTACCAATAGAATTGAGATATATGAACGGCTCTTGACAAAGGCTTTCTTTAATCTCATTTCATGTATTTTGTTGCCACAAAACTGTTTTAATTCTCTCTAGAGCTTGTCACATATTAACATTCTTGTATTCTATGTTGTTATTTATTTTATTTTATTTTGGCAATTCTTGCATAGTATGTTGACAAGGCTTTCTTTCTTAATTCTTACTTTCACAATGTTAGTCTACAAGCAGTTACCTTTGTAAACTTATCCAAAAAGCATAGTGTATGATGTACATTTAAATTTTTTTTTTTATCGACGAAATTTGATAATTAATTGTTAGATTAGCATATAAGAGGAGTTTAACTTATACCCTATGATAACCCAACCCGTAATATACTTAATTATGCATGTGATTATGTGTTTGATATAAATTTGTATGTTTAATTATGTGAGTTATTATGTCATTTATGTGATTATGAATTTCTATCTGTTGAGTGTAGAAAAATATGTTGCAGTTGGAACCTTGAACTAAAAATTTATAGCCTTAGAGACGCGAGAAACCAAAATCGATTTCATATTTGTGTTTAACATGATTTTTCGAGCCTATGGAGAAATTTGGCAAAATTACGATTCGTAATGAATTAATTGAGCTTAATTAGCATAAACCTTAGATTAAGCCAACCTCATCATGTATGAGATTTTATGTTTAATGGAGTAAGGAGATTTGGATTCTAATTGGTGATTACTCTAATGTAATTTGGGATTTATGAGAATTTTGGAGTGTAATTCGCATTTGATTTTAATAACAATTTATTTTGGAATTAGAAATTAAGGTCCAAATGGCTTATGGCAGTGAAATTAATTAGTTTAATTTTAAATACGGACCCATTTGGAAGTTTAATTAATACTCAATTTAGTAAAATTGACATTTTATTAATTGGGTCTGAAATGGAGTCGATTAAGTTATGAAGATTGGGAACCAAGATTATTATGAATTAAGTTTATTTATGAGGTGTTCAATTGAATATGAAATTTATTGACGGAGATTTTGAGTTTGATTTGAAATTGAAGACCTTAATAGCTTGGGAAACCAAGATTGATGATGGAAATGAATTTAATTTAATATTTGGATCCTTTTGGGGAAACTGATTAAAAATCTAATTCGGTTGATAAATTTAATTATACTTAATTGGGCCTTAATGGAAGTCAAATTAGACTAATTAAATTATGTGGAATTTATGATTAATTGTAATTAATTTAATTATGTGTTAATTAAGATTTATGAAGACTACGAGTTATTTAATTCAACTAATCTTAATCATAAATTAAATTAAGGAAGAATCTAGAATTGTGAGTGTGTGCGGGTGTGCAGAGAAACCTGTGTGGGTGTGCACAGAAATCATATATGTGTGTATAGGTGTTGTGCTAGCAGCTTGGATCAATGTGCACGTGTGTAGTGTGGATGCATCAAGAGAAGTTGTGTGTGTGTGTGATATATGTGCTGGAAATTAGATTCAAAAACATAGAGAAGAGAAAAAAGAGAACCTAGGGACTGAGAGAAAGAGAGAGGCCGAAAGATGAAGGGAGAGAGAGAGGGAATTCAAGAATGAATGAGATTCAAAAAGGAGAGATACAAGGCTGCTGGAAGCAGCCAAAAGAAAGAAAGAGTTCAACCCAAGGAACAAGAAGAAAAGAAGAGGGTTCTGTGGAATATCAAAATTCAAGCTAAAAATTATGGAAAATTCATGATAAGGGTCAACTACAAGGGTGAACCAGGCATCTGAACATTGTGAGTAATATCTTAGCAAAGATATTTTCAAATATGTTATTTTCCAAATGCTTCTTCTATATAAGCATCATGGAATTGTTGATTTGAATTACAAATAAGTATTCTATATGCCTATGTTTTGTATAAGAGTGTGAAGAACTTGATTTGGGCCCAAGGCCATTTGATATGTGATAAGAGTATGAATTGGGCCTGAGGCCGTTTGATACGTTTGATATGTCTAAATTGGGACTAAGGCCATTTGCCGTTTGATGAATGGGCCAAAGGCCATTTGAATATTATGATGAGCCAAAGGCCGTTTGAATAATATATGATGGGCCCAAGGCCGTCTGAATACGAATGCAATGGGCCAAAGGCCATTTGATATTATGATGGACCCAAGGCCGTTTGAATACGAATGGAATAGACCAAAGGCCTATGGCTCGACTTTTCGTGCTCCTTTCGAATACAATTAGTGCCCACAGTTCGAACTCTACCTGTGGTTCTGAATCTGATTTCACAAGTGCAATATGAAATAGATAAATACCAAAGAATCCAAATCCAACAAATCTTTTGGAAAATCGATGTTTGAATCAAATGCCAAAAATGAACTGTTTTGCCAGATTTCAGAGTCGCCGCCTAAAAATTTTTGAAAACCCAAGACTCGTGCCAAAAGCCATTAGTCCATTATCACCAAAGTGTCTAGGCTCGGGAACTTAGGTATGAGAGGGAATGGTCATGAATTGAGCACCCCACTCGTCCAATCAAAGATCTTCCTCTACTAATCATGATGTGATTTTTATTTACATTATATGCTCTTGTTCTGATTTATTAAGTTAACGTACTATGTGATGCACACAAGGCATGGACTAACTTGCGAGAATTGGAACATTTGATTTTACGTTTTGTTTGAAAATGGTTTTGAATTTGCCACTTGAAAAAAGTGGGCTTGAAAAGAGTTTGTGAATTTGCCACTCAAAAAAGCGGGCGTAAAACGAACATTAATCAAACTATCCCAAATTCATGCAGCTAGCCTTTATCCACAGGCATTCAAATAGTTATATCATCTAAACAATTAGCCTTATGGAAGTATACTTTGACATGGTAACACGAGCATTCGATGCAAGTTGCTAAAACATAAAATTACTTACCTAGTACTCCGAGCCAAAACAAAGCAAAATAATTAGAAAAACATGTATGTTCCGAATTAATGCAATATGACTAATGCAACGCACACATTATGTATTTTATAGGCTCAGCTATGAGCATGGCATATGATTTCATTGAAGACATGCGATAAGGCATGTATTCAAGTAATGAATTTGAACATTGATATTCGGTTAGTATGATGAGCCGAACCTTGGATGCATGCAAGACAATGGATGCAAGGCATAAGAATGCTAATTTTGAAAAAGAAAATGATGCCCTATATTAAACATCATAAACAAGTAAGTAAAAGGGAGAAAGACATGGGGTTGGAAGACATACAACTTATTACATAGTTGCCCTCGTGCAAGAGGGTGCGAATCAAAGGCCGAGAGTCCGAATTAAACTGATTATTATAAAACCAAATGAATAGAATAAGCTAAGCTAAGCTACCTACTTTATTACAACAAGGATAACCATGAGAAGGAAATTAGTTATCTAAGTTAATTGGCTATAACAATTACATTTAAACAAGACTAATTATAACAAGACTAATTAATAAATTAATTACAACAATACACGGGGCAAGAATACACAAGGGTTACTATAGACACCCCCTTTTTGACCTTCCTCAAGACTTGGCTGTGCTTGCAGGTACATCCAGCCACAAGTTTGTTTGCTCGTCGAGCACTCGACTGTCGCGGCGGATCGTCACAAGTTTGAGCTTTTCAAACCCTGTATCCTTTCTACCCCATTTTTGGACCATGTGTTGACCCTTCTAGCTTGATCTTCATAGTGCAATGTCGGCCTTGATTTCTCTCCTGCCTACTATTGATGATGCCTGCCGGCCATCAGTGAGCCACTGTCAGCCACCAGAACACTTGTCTCAGCAGGTTTCACTCTAGATCTTTTGAGAAAGCTGGTTTTCACTCATCTTCCCTCCATACACGTGTATGGAGGGATGAAGCTCTTGCCAAGCTTGTTTAACAAGCTTTACATTGCCCTCTTCTATATAAGGAGAGGCTCTTCCTCTCTATCAAAGGTTCAGCCATTTTAGAGAAGATATATCTCTATATATATATATATATATATTTCTCATTCTCTCTCTATATTGTTGTTGTTTTGTGCCTTAAAAGTCCATTTTCTTCTCACTTTTGCACTACAACGCATAGTGATATACCACCACCTTTGGGCTGAGATTCTTAGGAGTGTTATTTGAGCTCTGAAAGTTGGTTTCTAGCCTCTGAGATTGCTGGTTTCGAAGTTGATCTTCAAGGGTGAGCATATTCCCCATTTAACCCTTTTTTTGTATACCATTTTGGCCATCCTTGCATGTTGTTTTAGGCCTTTCTTTCAACTGAAAAAAGTTTTGTATTTAAGTACTTTTGATGATTGTTTAAGGTTTTTTTGGTGTTAAGGGTGTACAACCCTCTTGTATGCCTTGTTTGGCCCTTTTTTTGTGCCATGCCTTAAGGCTTTTGGGTTGGTCTTGGTTTGGACTTTTAGCCACTGAAATCCAGTGGATTTCCAGTGGTAGGCATGTGGTTTTGAGGCCTCAAATCAGAGGGGGGTGACCCTCCCTGTTTTTGTTTCGTTTACTTGAGTTTTTGGCCTACCAAAGGAACATGTATCCCTATACTTTTGAGGCTTAGTTCAGGTACTTTTTTGTGATCTTTAGGACCTGCCTTAAGTCTTTCCATGGCTGGTTTGGTCACTTTATTTATGCTTCTTATATGTGTAGTGTAATCCCATTTGTGGCTCATCAAAGTAGCATGTCTTTCTTGCATGTGTTGG